GTTAATTTTAAATATAGACGTAAATTCGATTAAATCAAAATTCACGTAGCGCGATCCGATTAAAACTAACGTCTAAAAATCCGATTAAAACTAACTAACATCTCTGCTCGGCGCGTCTCCTGTGTCTCGAAGAACGAGGGTATTCGGAATAATAGGGCTTCCACCACGGCAGAATGAAACAGAATCGAGATTGCAAACATACCCGAATTCGGCGAAAACAGCAATAAATTGAAATGGTATAATGAGTTTTGTATTATAGATCAGAATAAATATCAAGCTGCGCTGAAATTATTTGAACCTTGTTAAATATTTATCGTAAAATTTCTACATTTTTCATACGGAAGATAACACATTTAAATAAAATAATTTACGAGAAATGTACATGCAACTGAGGGATTCTTGTGTTTAAATAAATTCATCTATTTCTAATACTTCATTAAGAAAAGAATTACGTGGCATTTCAGAAATTGGAAAAAGTATAACGGAGAAAGAGAAGAGAACATCTACATATTTACAAATATATCCATATATCATGTCTGACTTTTATCAAAGTAAATATCTCGTACTCTAACTAAAAGTTTTACATATGCACTCTTATTACGATATTCTACTATCTCGGGAATACACAAGAGAATGTAGAATAAATAGAGGCAAAAGATACATCATTGGGGCTTTGGCTTCGGTCCAAAAAAAGAGTCGACAACTTCGTCGATGGTGTGTGTGTTCCGACCGGCTGAGAAAATAGAAAAATACGTTTCCTCGTTTTCATCGCTCCGCGACTCCGTTTATGTACGTTTTAATAATAAATAGTCGTAGCAGAGTTCGTAATTGAATACACTTGAAACGGGAAACAAAACGCAGCGCGATTGCATGATAATTTATAAATGGTGCTTAAAATTCGGAATGATAAAACGCGAAGAGAAAAATGAGCCATCATTATATCACGAAGGATCATTAAGTTTTTAACTGCAGCTTAATGAACGTGAAAATATAATAATTAGCATAATACGCAAAATGATATTTGCATCCGCGGTGGACGCGTACTAATGAAATTAATTCATTCGGTGATAAAGCTGCACTCGTGACTATCGCAGCTAATGCAGCTATATGTGATATGATAACATCTATTTCGAGCATGTGTACTTTGGGACGGACCAGATTCGAATCACTAATATATATAAGCCATATAAGCTAATTTAGGTATGTCCGCTTATGTTATTGATTTCATCATTCGTTTGTGTAATACGGATTCCACTTTTAAAATGGAGTATTGCAGTATGATTGCCTGATAGGCCGCGTACCACAAATTGAGGCAAGCCTGTACTGGATATCGATTTTCTTTGAAAATTCAATATATAACACGATTAACGGGGGATTTACGATAATTGCAATTTTAATCGTAATTAAACGATGCATGATGAAAATTGAAACGAGCCACGCAAGAATAAATATTCTTGACAATTTTTATTTCGACCGAACGGTGCAATATTTTGTTAAATTTTTATATAGCATTAAATGCATATTATTATTTATTATTTATTATGCATTTATAAATATCTCTCTGTATTTTATGACACAATCGTGACATATGTATATTTTTCCCTTTTTAATTATTAATTGCTCTCGTACAAATTGTAATAACATAATAATTTACATAATTATAAATTATTTTTTAGATGTAAAAATTTATCGACATGTATTGAAAAGTTATTATTCATGCCTAATTTTTTCACATTTATTATACGAGTGAAATATTGGTTAATTAATTAGATGAATAATTTTTCCGATAATAATAGTACAAGTTTGTGTATGAAATATTTATAATATTATCATTTGCAAGATATTCACATTTTCGGAGTACCATATATTAAAATACATATTCTTCCGTCTCTACACAGATATATATATATATATTTTTTTTTCCAGTATAAAGCGAGACTATCGATTTATATTTGGAGAATTTTTATGGGTACTAGGGCACCGGAGGATTATGTAGAAGAAACATGAATGAGAGCATTTGTCTTTCTCTTTTTTTCTTTCAATTTGTTACAGCTTATACATTAAGAAATACTGCCAAAAGTAGAATTCTATTTAAATAAAATATCTAAACCAGTTCATAAAAGTCCATTATACTGCAATAGATTTATCATTCATTCCATTTTAATTTTAACTTTGAATAA